ATTCAGAAGACTGGCAAAGAACAAAGTTGGTTCTTAGATGAGATCAACAAAAATCAATCAGCCTATGGTCAGACTAACCAGAAATGAAAAAACTAAGATTTCTAAAAAACTCAATTAGAAGTGAAAAGGAGGAAATAACAACAGATATGATGGAAATACAAAACATCATCACTGGAAAACTACAAAAATCTCTATACCCAGAAATTTGAAACCATGGAGGAAATGGACAAATTCCTGGAATCACATTACCTCCATAGACTCAACCAAGAAGAAACAGAGCTCCTGAACAAACCACTATCAAGCATCAAAGTTGAAACAACAATAAAAAAGAATCCCAGATGATTTTAACCAGAAATCTATAAAACCTTCAAAGAAGAGCTCTTATGTATATTACAGAACCTATTCCAAAACACTGAGAAGAAAGGAACCCCCCCAACTCCTTCTATGAAGCATGTATCACCTTGATACCAAAGACATAACAAAAAAGAAAACTACAGACCAATATTTGTAATGATTTAGATACAAAAATACTCAATAAAATCTTAGCTAAAAAAAATTCAACTGCATGTCAAAAAAAATAATTCATCATGACCAGTTGGACCTCATTCCAAGGATGCAAGGCTGGTTCAACATATGCAAATCTATAAATGTAATTCACCACATAAACTGAAGCAAAAACAAAAACCATATGATCCTCTCAAAAGATGAAGAAAAAGCGTTTGACAAAATTCAGCACCCCTTTTTAATATACTTATGAAAGTTGGCATAGATGGCACATTCCTTAAATTGATAGAAGCCATCTACAACAAACTCACAGCCAACATCATTTTGAATGGGAAAAACTTGAAACCATTCCTGCTTAGAACTAGACCCAGACAAGGATGTCCACTATTACCACTACTATTCAACATACTGCTGGAAGTCCTAGCCAAAGACATCAGACAAGAGGAGGATGTCAAGGGGACAGAGGAGGTTAAATTATCACCCTTTGCTGATGATATGATCTTATACCCAGAAAACCCCAAGGACTCAACTAAGAGACTCCCGGAATTGATAAATAAATATAGCAACATCTCAGGATATAAAATCAATGTACACAAATCAGTACAGCTTTTATATATGCCAACAATAGCCAATCTGAGAATAAAACCAAGGACACAATTCTCTTCACAGCATCAAAAAATGAGGTACCTTGAATATATATTTAACAAAGCACATGAAGGATCTCTATAGAGAGAACTAAAAAATGCTAAGAAAAGAAATTGCGGAAGATATTAATAAAAGGAAGAACAGACATAGTATCATGCTAATAGCACAGAAGAATCAACATTGTTAAAAAGTCTATCCTACCCAAAGTCATCTACAGACTCAATGCAATCCTCACTCAAATACCAACATTGTATTCTGCACATCTTGAAAAAATAGCTCTATGCTTTGTATGGAATCATAAAAAGCCATGAGTACTCTACACAATTCCACGAAGTAAGAACAAATCTAGAAGCATCACTTTACCAGACTTAAGGCTATACTACAAGTCTATAGCGATCACAACAGCATGGCATTGGCATAGAGACACAGACCTATAGAGAGTGTCTAGAGATCAAACCAACTTTATACTGCCACCAACTCACAATGGATAAAAGATTTAAAACTGAAAACATAAAACTACTAAAATTCTAAGAGAAAATATGGGGAAAACTCTTAATGATATCAGCCTAGGGAAAGAATTTATAAAGACCCCAAAGGCAATCACAGCAACAACAAAAATACATAAATAGGACCTGATCAGGTTAAAACGTTTCTGCACAGGCAAGGACATAATCAATAAAGCAAAGAGACAACCTACAGAATAGGCAATCACAGCAACAACAAAAATAAATAAATAAGACCTAATAAGGTTAAAATATTTCTGCACAGGCAAGGACATAACCAATAAAGCAAAGAGACAACCTATATTTGCATGCTACACATCTGACAAAGGGCTAATAACCAGAATCTACAAAGAATTCAAAACAAATAACAAAAGATCAAACAACTACTCCATTGAAAACTCGGCTCGGCGCCTGTGGCTCAAGCGGCTAAGGCACCAGCCACATACACCTAAGGTGGTGGGTTCGAATCCCCAGCCTGGACCCGCCAAACAACAATGACGGCTGCAACCAAAAAATGGCCAGGCATTGTGGCGGGCGCCTGTGGTCCCAGCTACTTGGGAGGCTGAGGCAGGAGACTCGCTTGAGCCCAGGAGTTGGAGGTTGCTGTGAGAGTGATGCCATGGCACTCTACCCAGGGGGATAGCTTGAGGCTCCGTCTCAAAAAAAAAGAAAAGAAAACTGAACAAGAGACATGATCAGAAGCTTTTCTTTCTTTTTATTTTTGGAGACAAAGTCTCTCTCTGTCACCCTTGGTAGAGTGCCGTGGTGTCACAGCTCACAGCAAACTCAAAATCCTGGGCTTAAGCGATTCTCTTGTCTTAGCCTAGGTGGGACTACAGGCGCCTGCCACAACACCTGGCTACTGTTTTTGTTGTAGTCGTCATTGTTGTTTGGCAGGCCCGGGCTGGGTTCTAACCCACCAGCTCAGGTGTATGTGGCCAGTGCCTTAACTGCTGAGCAACAGGCATTGAGCCAACCAGAAGCTTTTCTCATGAGAACAGACTAATAGCCAATAAACACATTTTTAAAAATGCTCATCATCCCTAATCATCAGAGAAATCTGAGTCAAAACCACATTGAAATATCCTTTAGCCCCAGTGAGAATGGCCCATATTACAAGGTCCTAAAGCAAAAGATGCTGGCATGGATAGAGAAAGAAAGGAACAATCATACACTGCTGGGGGGAACACAAACTAATGCAACCTCTATGGAAAGTTAGTATGGAGACTCCCCAAAGAACTAAAAGTAAACTTACCGTTTGATTCTGCAGTCCCACTAGTAAGTATTTACTCTCCCCCAAAAAAGACATTTTCTCATAAAGACATTTGTACCCAAATGTTTATTATAGCACAGTTCACAACTGCAAAAATGTGGAAAAATCCAATACTCTTGGGTTTTACTCACATGCTCTTTCCATACATGAATGAGTTAATAAATTGTGATATATATACACCATGGAATATTATTCAGCCATTAAAAAGATAAGAGATTTTGTATCTTTTGTGAAATATCAAAAGAATGGAAAACAACCACACGTTCTCAGTACTAAACTGGAACTAGTAAATGGACACTTACATGTTCACGTGAGAGAAAAAACTTGATGAAATTCAAGGAGGGGTTAGGAGAAGACGGGTAAATTCTCTTCCAAAAGGTACATCGCATGGGTATACTGCACACTTCCTAGGTGAAAGACAAGCCTACACAACTTGGATTTTAACCCTACAAAATCAAACTAATCATATGTACCCCCATATTAATCTGAATTTTTTTTAAAAAAAAAAAAGAACTCTAAATAAAAATGGGTGAAGTATACATATGACTGATAACTTAAAGAAAATATAAAGGATTTTAAATATTTCAAAATATGTTCAGCCTTACTTATAATGAAAGAGCATCAACTATACTGACAAATTGTTTTCTTACCTATCAGACAGTTAAAAAACTGGAAAATTTGATAGCACACTCTGTAGACAAGTATGCAGGGAAAATAACACTTTCATCCACTGATAGTAGAAACAAAGTTCAATCTCTCTAAGGCGATTTGTCAAAACTCATCAAAATCATAAGTGCCTATCTTTCATGCAGCGATTCTACTTCAAGGAAATTATCCTGTAAATATACTTCATATATGTATAAACTAAATATGTATGACATGTTCTATTACAGCATTATTTTATGTAAAGTTAGAAATTTTGAGAAAACTAAACATCATCCATAGAAACTTTGTTAAATAAATTACAGTACATCTATACAGTGCAATTAGTAATGAACAACAGTGAATGAAGAAGTCCTTGAAAGGAATTTCAAAATGTATCAACTGAGAAACAGGGAAAAAGGTAGTAAAGAATGCTAAGGTGTGTGTTGAAACACATGCACACACACACACAAACATATTTTTGCTAGTATATGAATTATGCATGTATCTGGAAGAATACAAGAAAAGAGGTAAATATATGCTTCTATACATGTAGACTGTTTTAGGAAGAATATATAAGAAATAGATAAGTGTAAGTGAGCAACAGTGGAAAAAGAGGATACATGGTATGTATAAAAATTTAAAACGCCCACCAAAATATAGGTAACCAACATTTACAGTGATCAAATTTGTATGATTACTTTCTGAAGACAAAATGAAATTAACATCAACTGCAAGTATAAGACCTGATACTCTGTACAATAATTTTTTTTAATGATAAATTTGAAATATAATAATTTTTATTGCTTGGCTATTGTTAGATGTTAAAAATAAAATGGAATAATGTTGATTATTTGTACTCTGTAACTTCAGAAAAGATGAACAAATAACAGCATCTCTTTTAACAAGAGCATTCCTTACTTAAGCAATTATCAGTAATTTTCTTATTTACTCCAAAGCTAGTCTCTTTCCAATGATGAAGGGGTAAAAAGCAAAAAGAAATTCTTCCTTTTCTTGACAGATGTACATTATATGTTCATTTCAGTAGCGTATCTTTCAACTCAAAATTGTCACCTTATGTATCATATAAATGGAATTATACCTTCCCAAGTCCATGTACTATACTAATTCATTAAAATTCTCGTAAAAGACAGAAGAGGTAAAGGAATATCAGGTCAAACACATTGGCAATTAGCAAGGCACTTTTCAGAAATGGCAAGAAAAGCACTACCAAAAGATACTACTAACTTTAAAATTTAAAAAACAGAATATGCAGAGTAATTTTAACCACCTAACTCCTACAGTAACAGTTCTAATTACTAACTGCAAACTGAGGAATGAGGAAGAAACTTTGATGGCATTTCAGTAGAACTTACTGGTAGGAAAGAGAATGTATTTCGTGAGAAGGAGGCCTCAGAACACCTATACTTTACCTTCTTCTGAAGAACATTAACCTTCCGCTCCTTCACATCCAGCATATCCTTGAGGTCATGTATCTCTCCAGCTTGTGTCCCCTTCTCCTCTGCCATATCTTGAATTTGTTTGGTCTTTTTATTTAGCATGGTTTCTTTTTCTTCCAAACGCAATCGGAGAGCATCCACCTATGAATGTTAAGATTTTAAAAGTGATTAATTATGTTATTTTCAAATAGATGTGTTATGAAGAGGTTATAAAGAGTCTGGGGCCCAAATGAAGGGGGAGGATGGGAGGGGGAGTGGTCAAATCGAGGGAAGGTGAATGGTGGGATCACACCTATGGTGCATAATGCAAGGGTACATGTCAGATCTATTAAGTATAGAGTATAAATGGCTTAACACAATAATTAAGTAAACAAGATGAAGTATATATTAACCAGCATGATGTAAGCATTCCTAATTCTACATGAAATCAGCACATTGTACCCTATAAATGCATTAATGTATACATGATCTATGTGTTTATGGTTTAATTAAAAAAAAAAAAAGGAAGAGGAAAAAAGAAGAGTTTTGTCCTTTCTCTACAAGTAGTATAATATAAAACTGTGTTTCTCAAAATTTATGTGTATCAGGATCACTGGTAGGGTTAAGAGAGACTGCTAGGCTCAGCAACCACTTCTGATTCAGTTGGGTTGGGGATCAAAACTATATCTCTAACAAGTTCCCAAGTGATGTTACATTCTTTTAGAAAATCTAAAATTAGGGGGAGAAAATTCAAAATCAGAACACCAAAGCATAACATTTTGTTGTATCAGGTACTACAATCTAGCCATAGGCTATGGTGCTCTTATGCACTTAGATGCATTACACAAGGCAAAAGCAAAGGTCTACTTTTAGATGCCAAGACTAACCAGCTACAGTCTGGTATCTAGTCGCTTTTATCCCTGAAGTTTAACAGTTTTTGTTAGATAAGACATTTAAGGATATTTATTTCAAAATCCATTCATTAAGCTTTTAGCACTCCATGAATATTCACACATCATTTTTTGTTTGTTTTCTGCTTTTCTGCCAAGGATTAATAACTCATGAGATAGTTAAACATTTAATTATAGCAAATCAGGGAGGTAAATTTCTTCCATCTAAGACAGTGCTGTTCAACAAGAATATGATTTAAGTCATATCAGTAAGCCACTTATAGAATTTTTTATTACCACATTTAAAATTAAAAAAGAAACAGGTAAAATTAATTTAAATAATATTTTTAAAACAACAGAGATGGGGATCTCACACTGTTACCCAAGCTAGAGTTCAGTGAGTGGTACCTTCCAGGTCACTATAACCTTGAACTCTAGGGGTCAAGCTATCCTCCTGCCTCAATCTCCAATGTAGCTAGGACTACAGGTGTGCACCACTTTTCCTGGCTAATTTTACTTATTTTTTTGTAGAGACAGGCTTTTCTTGAACTCGGGGCTTCAAGCAATCCTCCCACCTCAGCCTCTCAGTGTGCTGGGATTATAAATGTGATCTAGTGCACTCAGCCTTAAATAATATTTTAATCTAACATATCAACAATATTATCCTTTCAAGCATATAATCCATATCTAAAAAACTATTAATATACTATTTTACATTTATGTTTTCATACTAAGTCTTCAAAGTCCAATGTATGTTTCACATTTACATTTCACACTTCAATTTGGGCTGGCCACATTTCAGCTGCTTAATAGTCACCACATATGACTGGTGTTGACCACACTGGACAGTATCAACCTAAGAAATTAACTGCATTTTTCTATAAAAACATCTCTTTAACTTGTGCTATATTACTTTTTCTTTATAACTGTGAATTAACCTGCACAGAAAAAAAAATGGTAACATGATTAATGTTTCCTATTTAGAGCATATCAAAGTCCTCAGGAAGATTTAATATAGGTTGGACATCCCAAATCCAAAATGCTCCACAACCCAAAATTTTTTGAACACTGACATCATGCTTAGAGGAAATGCTCATTGGAACATTCTGAATTTTTGGACTATGTATATTCAACAAGTATAAGTACAATGTAAATATTCCACAATGTTAAAAATTTGAAATCTAAAATACTTCTGTTTCCAAGCATTTCAGGTAAGACATACTCAATCTGTATCATATCTTCATTTAGATACAAGGTATCTGTGTGTGAAATAGTGGTATTTACTGCTCAGTAATTATGAAAAATTTCTTAGGCGACTAATCTTATTTGAGACTGCTATAATCATAAGACATCAAGTACTTACAAACTATGTGGGAAAGGAAAGAAAAGGAAAAATATATTGCCATACTGCACTGTGCTAAACTCCATTTCTGCCAACCAGTTCTATGCCACAAGTCTCACCAAGTCAAAAATTAGGGAAGCAATCTTATTAGGTCCCACTTATAAATCTTCATCACAAGTTCTACAATGACCCCTCAACACACACTTTCATTTCTAATTTACCTCTATTTTACTTTAATAAATGATACATAGTTAACTTCATGATAGTTTGGAAGGATTCTCCTATGAACTTTCAAATTCTGAAAATCTTTTTTCTGAATCACAAAACATTGTTCTTTTCTTTATCCTATACCAACTAAATCCACTCTTTGTTCACAGCATAACCTCTGATCTGTCACCTCTATCTTTTTCATATTCACCTCTATTTGGGTACTATTTGCTTTTTCCCCCAGCTTAAGTAATCATTTCAAATACAGTCTCACGTTATCTCATTATATTAATCATACCTGTTTTACTTTCTTTACTTTGGGTATTAACAATTTCCGTCATCATACCCTCACTTTTCAACCTTCCTGCATGTCAGGTCACATATATTCTTGTCAACCATACACAGGGGATCACCCTTATCAGTGGGGAATACATTACAAGACCACAGTGGATGCCTGAAACTACAGATAGTATCAAACCATATGCACACACACACTCCCCAATGTTTTCTCCTTTATACTACGATAAAGTTTAATTTATAAATTAGGCATAGTAAGAGATTAACAATAACTAATAATAAAATAGAACAATTATAACAACATGCCAGCATCACTATTCTTATACTTTGGAGACATTAGTAAGCAAAATAAGGGTTATTGGAGCACAGGCACTGAGACACCAAGACAACTGATCTGGTAACCAAGATGGCCACTACATAACTAACAAGCAGGGATATACAACATGGATACGTTTGACAAAAGGAGAATCCACATCACAGCGGGGATGAAGTGAATGATGATAGATTTCATCACACTACTCAGAATAGTGCACAATTTAAAACTTATGAATTAGGCCAGGAGCGGTGGCTCATGCCTGTAATCCCAGCACTCTAGAAGGCCAAAGTAGGTAGACTGCCTGCACTCAGGAGTTTGAGACCAGCCTGAGCAAGAGCAGGACCCTGTCTCTAAAAATAGCTGGGCATTGTGGCACATGTCTGTAGTCCCAGCTACTCTGGAGGCTGAGGCAAGAGAATCACTTGAGCCCAAGAGTTTGAGGGTGTCGTGAGCTATGATGCCATAGCACTCACCTATGTCGTGAGCTATGATGTCATAGAGTGACAAAGTAAGACTCTGTCTCAAAAAAAAAAAGAAAGAAAGAAAACTTACAAATTGTTTATTTCTAGAATTTTCTTTTTTTTTTATTGAATGGTAACTATGTACATTAATGCACTTTATTTCTAGAATTTTCTATTTAATATTTTTAGACCATTGTAGACTAAGGTAACAAAAACTATAGGAAGTAAAACCACAGATAAGGGGGCACTTCTTTACATAATACATTAAAAATCCTCACAGTTCTAGCCTCAGTTGTCATATTTTCTTCCCCAGCATTCTCCCTGTGGAAAATTTCAGACTCTTCATCGCTATGTGGAAAACTGGGACTTAGAAAAGGTGGTAGACTCAAGATCTCTAGCTACAAATAAGTAACAGAGCCAGGATTTAAGACTAACTGGTCTTTTCCCAGATTCTACGCTCTTACCACTAATTCTGTAATACGTTTCTACTCCCCAGTTCCACAGCATGGAATTCAAGGCCCTCTATGATTTGATGGCCCCAATCTACCACCATTGCCTTATCCTTGCCATACACTTCCCCACCCCCTTCCAGCAACCCCCTATTTTAGCACCACAGCCATTCTCTGAAAAGTACTATGTTTTCTGTCTTCCTTGCCATGGTGCACATTTGGTTCTGTACTTAAAATATTCTTAACTGCTACCCACTGAACACTTTTTTCAGGGCCCCTCTTCCTATGCTACCATTTTAATAAATATTTCCCAAATCCTCAATAGACAACTACAATCTCCTTCTTCTGTTTTCACAGTACTTTATTACAGAACTTACAATTTCTTTGTAATCATATATCTACACTATCATCTAGAACTTATCACATTTCTGTATTTAAGGAAAGAACAATTATTTTTTATTTTTATCTTTTTTTATTATTGGGGATTCATTGAGGGTACAAGAAACAAGGTTACACTGATTGCATTTGTTAGGTAAAGTCCTTCTCACAATCATGTCTTGCCCCTAAAAGGTGTGGCACACACCAAAACCCTACCTCCCCACCTCCTTCCCTAGGAAAGAACAATATTTTGCAGACACTTTTTCTAAGTAATCCTATCTCACTTAAAACATATAACACTGCAAAGTAGCTAATATTATCTCTATTAAAAAGATGGTAAAACTGAGACTCAGAGGAGTTAATTTATACCATATTATAGAACTAGCAATTAAAAGGACTGGAAAGCAAAGGGTAGATATGTCTCAAAAGATATTATCTTTTATCATATACCAAAGGATAGCAGCATAAAAGGAACAGAGGTAATACAGAGGAAAGGATAGCTCTCTGCTGAACAATACATCAAAGGAGTCGGGAAAGGTTTCTGAAAGAAACAATTGGGTTTTGAATGAGGAATAGGACAGTATTAAATATAAAAGGGAAGGTACCTAAATGCCCATCAACCCATGAATGGATCAACAATGGAATATTATTCAGCCATTAAAAAAAATGGAGACTTTACATCTTTTACATTTACCTGGATGGAGTTGAAATACATTCTTCTTAGTAAAGTATCACAAGAATGGAAAAAAAAGTATCTGATGTACTCCATACTAATATGAAATCAATATATAAACAATTAGATGCTGATAATAATAATAAAAC